TCGTTGTTTTGCCGTTACAGTATGACTTGGTCCGAAATGGCAAAATTGAAAAGGCGGTGGCTTGTGATTGTGCTGAAAGCCTTTACCATCCCCCAATAACCCTTTCAAGGAAAGCTTTAAAATCTGAAAATGTTTGAGCAACCTCATGGTAGCTCTTCAATAGATTTTGAATGTACCCCATTTGCTTCACTTCTCTAGAATAAAGAAAATCCGGTCATTGCTTTTCTTTGAAGAGGTCATACGATGAGAAGACTGTCTCGTCAGTATTTTTTCCCGTCGAAAATCTGCTTTCCTCCCAAAGTTTTTGTTTTATGCAAAGGAAAGCCCCACCTTCAAAGACTCTATTTGCTTTCGTTCAGCCTCCCAAAATTCATTGAAGTTTCTTCGATACCTCTTATTCACATACATATAAGCGTCGTCTTGAGTCGCCTCCTTTGGTGACGTGGTTGGCATCTAAAATGACAATCATCCTGCAACGATGAGTTGCATCTTGAAATAAACCTCCTCTGTTTCATCTTTTATAATTGTTTCATACTCCTCTAATCTGCTTGCTTTTACTTCTTCGAGTTTTATTCTCTTCAGATTGTCTTCTTCAACACGAGCATTCCATCGACACACAAACTTATCCGTCATTATAGCATCACTTCGGTTTGAGAACTTAGGTGGAGGGAAACCTCCAGAACGTGCTATCTCCATGACGACTTCATCGGATATGTCAGTCAAGTGATCGGGGTGAATAGTTACTCTGAATTTTTAAATCTTTTTTTTTATTTTCAAAAAAACTATTGCGGAAACATACACATTTGGATGGGTGCTTCTGAAGGCAGCCATTCGTTCGTAAGTATCTTTCCAAAGCAATGATGTCTAGAAGTCATTTTCATTTTCAACATGTACTTTATACTCAGAAATGATAGCGAATGGAAACTTACTTGTTGCAAATTCACTGGAATTACTCCAGCTTTTTCTGCCCAACACAAAAGGAAATACATGGCAAACAGCATTTCCATCCTGTCAATCATGAATCCATTACACCTTGCTATAATTTAGTACATTCATACATGCAAAGCAGAATCTTCACAATTTTACCCATATGTAATTGGAAAGCGTCGTTAAGCGAGATGGGTGTCTCCAGTATTATAATAAAGGTGTAGAAAAGATGAAGTAAGGAGAAAATTTCCTTGTGACGATCACTTAAGCAGATCTGAAACACTCCCAATGTCATTTTTAGTAACAAGTATATTCCTTCAACTCACAGAGCTATTCGTGTCCCGACAAAACTGAACAAGCTGCAGAACTTCTTGCGCATTGACTTCCAATGCTAGCGGCTGCCTTCAAGGTGAATATAGTGCAAAATCAAATTTACATGAAGCAATGAACCAGTTCAATGCAATTTCAAAGTTTTTGATGTTTCTTTCTTTTTAGAAGACGAGATTTATATTCCACCAGTCTTGATGCGCTTTGTGAAAGCAACGCGC